CACTAGCCTCTTTTTCTCCTAGTTTCTTTTTCCTATCTGGACAGTCTCTTTTGAAATGCCCTTCTATATGATAGTAGAAACACTTCCTCACAAACTTGGATTTTGACTTAGACCTACCCTTGGAGTGACCTTTCTTAAACACTTTCTTTTCAAATCTGCCCCTTACATTAAGCCCCTCACCATCTAACTTACCATTTTTCCTAAACTCAACATATTTGGTAGTAATGGCTACTACCACTTCATCTAGCCTAAGGGTCTATCTACCATACTTAAGGGTATCAACAAAATTAGCATACATCTTACGTAATGAGTTAATGAGTATAATAGCTTGATCCTCATCCTCAACCTTGAACACTTAGACCTTCTAAATCTTGCACCAATTTCATGAAATCATTCATATTTTCTCTTAATGACTTATTTTCATCCATTTTATAACCAAAGAACTTCTGTTTTAAAACTAGCCTATCAGGAGAAGACTTGGATAGATACAAATAGTCTAGTTTTTCCCAAAACCCTGCTGGTATGGTCATCTTTTTCACTTCTCTCAAAACGTCCCCCAAACCTAGAATTAGGGTACTATGAGCTTTATCTAGCAGATCTTTCTTCTCTTTCTCACTCAAAGACTCTGGTGAGCTATCGTCACCCTCTAAGGTAACTGACAACCCATCCTTAACTAGAACAACCCTCATTTTCATCTTCTATAACCCATAATCATTGTCTCATGTGAACTTCCCTACTTCAAATTTAGACATATCTAGGCTTATAAACCTCACAGCTACTAAGAGATTAAAAAACCCCAAAATTTAAAGACCTAGAAAACCCGAAATCATGAAACCCATAACCAACAATTTAGATTAAACCTACCAAACATGATCAATCCCCAACACCCAGACTTAATCTGGCTCTGATACCACTTGTGGGACTCAAAATTGATCGAATTAGAGAAAAATAGATTCTTAGGTTTCTAGTTTAGCAAGAACACAAACAATTAATTATGAGTAATCAAAAGAGCATAAAGAGAAAAAATAGAGAAAGTAAAGAACACACACAGAATTATAGTGGTTCGGTAATCAATTGATTACCTGTGTCCACTCTTCAAGGCAGTAGAGAAAAAATCACTATGGAGAAAGAAAACCTTACAAAGTTTATAGCTTTCTCTTTACATGAAGATCCCCAAGCCCCTCTATAATGCACCTGAAATAACCTAGATGTTCCTCACCTCTCATACATTAAAAAGCCAAAACATCAACAGCCATTTATACACAAAGAAATGAATAAAGGAATAACAAACTAGACTCACCATCACCGTTTGATCCCATCCAATGATCTTCAAAGCTCCAACTCAACCAATTTTGTAACAACCTTTCCCTCTTTGTAACCAATAGAGAATAATCGTGAAAGAACAAAAAATTGGGATAAGCAATTAGATCTAACAAATATCCCAATTGGGAAATCCCATAAAATCCCTACCTTTCTCAAAAATGGCTTTGACCAAACATATTCAAGGCTGACTTCCACATAGGCACAAAACAGATGCCACATCACCACAAAAGTCTTAGTGATTCCTTCATAACTAATTTCAAATACATCAATTTTGAAAGATCACCTTTTTCCACCTTCGCTTTTCCCTTTACAACTTCTCTTATCTCATTTTGGACTCTTCTCATCACCCATGGATTCCTCACAAGCTCTGTCATTGTCCAAACAATGGTGGCTAAAGAAGTATATGTTCCAGCTATGAATATATCCTAATCAACAGTAATTAAGAGGATTGACCTTTAGGAAATCAATGAAAATAAGATATTTGAGAGGTATACATACCGTGAGGATACTCTTGATTTGTATCCTTTTGAATTCAAAGAAGTACATCAACGAGATCCTCTAGCTTAGATTTAGGCCTTTTGGGGTCAAGATGCTTTTGTATTTCTTCATTGTAGAGCCTTTCAAGCTCTTTAGAAGTCTTCTATAGGCTTGAATTGATGCGTTAAAGTTGTTAAGCCGTCCATCCACGGGAAATAATCTGCTAAATTAGAATTTCCCATAACAGCTTGTAAATTCACGCATCAAGTTATCAAATCGACTTGCGCCATTATCTCCTCCCTTGAATTTTTTACCAAAAGTGACTCATGACACAATGTTATTTGCTAGCAGAATTTACTCTGATCAATCAATCATAAGTGCCACTTCTTCATTTCTCACCACCTAGAACGATTGTACCCTCTTCGCACTCAGAAGTTACACAATTGCAGTCTTCCTGATTTCCCGCCAATAGTCGCCATAAGAGGCAAATGTTATATTATTACAGTTATAGTTGATTTTTTTTTTTTTTTGAGAGCCTATAATTGAGGTAAACCTGAGAAAATAATATCGTGGGTTTTGAAAATCTCTCTAACAACATCGACCGAGGAAATTACAAAAGTGGAAACTAAGCCTAGTTGTAAGAACATGAGCAATCTATAAATAATCATTTGCAAGATGTTGCAACATTACATGAGGTAAGTCCCCTCTAAGTTGGTGTAGATTTCCTATAATAGGTAGCTTCTTTGGACCAAGAGGGAGCCCCTTAGCTTGATCTCTTTTCCTTTCTTGCTTGAATATCAATAATAATATCAGAAGTGGTGATGAGATAGCAATTAGTGAGAACATCAACAAAAACTGAGAACTCATTGTGCAATTGTTCTCAAGTAAGAAGGAAGAGATAATATGAATGAATGATCCAAAACCTCCATGAAAAACTCAACACAACACCATAAAATAACATGCACAAAACCGGCCAAGCAAGAACCTTCACAAACTTTACACTCGATTTCACTACACAAGAGAATCTAAACCTCCAAACATGCACAAACACAACACAACACAACCAGATTTCGAACAAGGCTAAAACAACCACAAAGATTTTGGCCAAGATAGAAACAAGAACACAAGACTACTTACTTGGATATAAGGATAATGATAAGAAAAATCTTCAAGCATAAAAGATCTCTCCACCAACTTGAAGTTGAATCACCTCCAAATCCCTTGTCAAGATTTGGATAAAGATTTCAAAGTAAAAGGAAAACCATTCCTCTCAAGAGTTTTTCTATTTCATTGTCTAACTAACAAAATGAGAGAGAGTTTGCTTATATAGTAGTATTACAAAGATGATTAACTAATTTAGTAGAGTAAAAACACTACTTAGGATAATTAACTAGAAACATACAAACTAAACATGCCACCTAGGATGACTAATTAAACATAACAAGTAATTAAATCCTACTAATAAGAGTGCACGAGTTTGGGCCTTCGGATTCATTGAAATGGATCCAAAATGAAGTAGCATGAAAAACACTCTCTGGGCTTGGATAATGGGCTGTCTTGGATCACTTGAATACTTAGGCCTTTTTTTTGTTGGACTTGGACTTCACTTGATGACTTAGTGCTTGAATGGACTTGGGCCGAGAGTTGGGCTTGGAATTCACTTGATGAATTGGTGCTTGAATGGACTTGGGCCGAGATGTCTCCTTTCCTCTACACAACTTGGGCTAATTCTTCTCCTGAGCTTGGGCTGAATCTGAATTGTCTCTTTGCATAACTTGGGTTAGTTCCTTTCCTTGGGCTTGGGCCGAATTTCATCCTTTATGATCCACATGCCATGTGCCAAGTGTTTTAGGACTTGGAATGACTAGTTTTGATTCAACTGAATTCGCAAGTGTTTTAAAACTTGCAATTCCTTTTCCACTCAAGTTCACAAGTGTTTTAGGACTTGTAAACGGATCAGGTAATCTCATACCAAGCAATGTAAATTTTTTAATCATAATGATCATAAAAGCACAAAGGTTCAAAAGCATTTCAATATAGATGGCAACCATTCCAATGCTAATTCTTCTCCTATTATTTGGTAGACGAGTAAAAAAAAAAAAAAGAAAAAACAAAGATATATATATAAAGCCTTAATTGCATGCTTGGTTAGTTTGACTATGTAATTAGAAAACAATCTCTTTCACCAATGTAAAGTACATTTGAATACTCATTATACATACAAAATATAACATGTAAGGAATGAGAATAATCTCGTTTTTTGTGTTTGTATATATATATATATTTTTTATAGAGATACCTAACTATACAATATATTAATCTCAAGCATGTATAGCACAAGAAAGCTCAAAGACGAAATTGTAAGATAGAATTAGAGTTTGTCCCCAATCTATATATTGTGGGACTCATTGCTTTGCAAAATGACCTATATATATGACAAGCTTGAGGGCTATTTGTAATGACATTGTTGATTTAATATTTCATGAAAAACAAAAAGCCACCACCAATAAGTTCTTAACCAGATAACAAAAAGAATCACCATGAGAAATTGAAATAATAAAAAAGCTTTTTGCAAATAAGAAATTGAAAAAAATTAATTAAATGAATAGAAACTCACATGTATATTATTTCTCTAGTATAATATGAAGATGCTGATGATGTAAAGATGAAGAGCTCAAAAAGAGAGAACGACAAATATATTTCTTTTAATAAGGGTAAAGGATAATTACTTGGATATTAAATTATTAACAAGGATAGTATTGGAAAATTAAAATATTAACAAAATCTCTCATTTTATTAAAACTTATGGATTTGGCAAAATCCCACCTACCAGGTGGGATTTTAAAACCCTAAAAAATGAAGGATTTTAGAGGGTGGTGGATTTTCCAAAATCCATGGATTTCAACCTAAAAAAAAAAACCAAAAGAAGGATTTTACCAAATCTATGAATTTAACGAAATCATTCATTTAGAATCCCTTAATCCAAACGAGGTCCTAATTATTTTGTCATCAACGGGAGCATTCGCTTCCTATCTAAACTAGTGATAAAATTATCCTAATTGGAAAGATGGTGAAATACCTAATTTCACTTTTCATACCCAATTGTTGGAGAAAAGTAATTGTCAAAGCCAAATGAGGAAATTGTTTCATTGCATATAACATCAAATGAGAAATAGATTCATTGCATAAGGCAGCCGAATGAGAAAAAGAGCAAACAGCACAGAGAAAAGACATTTGGCATTTAAATGACACCAGCTTCTAGTTTGCCCATTCAACTTATCATAACACAGTATCATTGATTTCATGTAAATGCATATGAATAATGGCTGCGCACTCTTAGATATTCGCAGGTGTAGCTACCAGGCAAAGAGGAACTTTATTGTGCGTTGTTAACCCAAATGCTTCTTCCACACTCAAATCTTCACTTTTCATCCCTTGAGGTAATTTTCAGTCAAAATGGTATAGCAGATTCGTCAGCGCAAGCTCAATAAGTGGACTAGCAAAATGAATTCCGGGGCATTCCCTCTTGCCTACCCCAAATGGTATAAACTCCAAATTTTGTCCCATGAAATCAATTGAGCTATTCAAGAATCTTTCAGGTCGAAAATCATGTGGATTTTTTCAATATTTGGGGTCACTTCCTGTCGATTTTGCATTGCTAAAAACGCTTGTTTTGGAAGGAATTTTGTACCCTCGTATCATGCAATCTTCGGTAGTTTCTCTAGGGACTAGTAACGGGGCTGGTGGATGGAGTCTTAGTGCTTCCTTCGCTACTAACTTTAGATACATCAGTTTGGAAAGATCACTTTCTTCCACCTCTTTTTCCTTTTGCAACTTCTCTTATCTCATTTTGGGCTCTTCTCGTCACTCGTGGATTCCTCACAAGCTCGGTCATTATCCAGACAAGCGTAGCTGAAGAAGTATTTGTGCCCGCAATAAACACGTCCTAAAACAATTTTAAAAAAAAAAAGAATTAATAAGAAAAATAAATTAGAAAAACAGACATATGTACATAAATAAAGGTGGATAGAGATAGAGGGCATACCGTGAGGACACCTTTAATTTGTTCATTTGTTAGGGTAATCATCCCTTGACATGAATTCTTTTGAATTTGAAAAAGTAAATCAACAAGATCTTCATGCTCCAGTTTTGGTCTTTCGGGATCAAGATGCTGCTGTATGACTTCATCGTAGAGTTTGTCAAGTTTTGTAAAATACTTCTCTAGACTTGCATTTTGGCCATTAAACTTGTTCAGCCATCCCATCCATGGAAAAAAATCAGCTGTATTAGTTTTTCCCAATAAGGATTGTGTTTGATGCAGCAAGTCATGAAATCTACTTGCGCCATCATCTCCATCGCTACCATACTTTTTACCGAGGGTCACTCAGCACACGATGTTATTCGCTAGCAAAAGTGTCAATCTACTCAGATCAATGGGGTCATCTGACGTTGACAGTGCTATAAGTTCAACCATTTGTCCCACCTCTTCATTTCTCAGTCCCTGGAAAGATTTCGCCCTCTTTGAACTCAGTAATTCCAATATTGCAATCTTCCTGACCTCTCGCCGGTACTCACCATAGGGAGTAAAAGATATATCGCTGCAGTTGTAACTGAACTTCCTTGCAGCATGTAGTTGACGCCTACCTGAAAAAATCAGATCATGGGTTTTGAAGATGTCTCGAACAACATCAGGTGAGGAAATTACTAAAGTGGGGATTGAGCCTAGTTGCAAGAACATGAGCGGTCCATAATTTTCTGCAAGATGTTGTAGCGATATATGGGGCAAGTCCCCGGTAATTTGGTGTGGATTTCCTATGAGAGGTAGCTTCTTTGGACTAGGTGGCAGGCTCTTTGCTTCGGCTCTCTCTCTTTCAAGCTTGATTAATAACCATAATAAAAACGATGTGGTAGCAGTGAATAGTAAGATCAAGAAAAATTGAGAACTCAAGGTGCTCTGTTACAATTAATGAAGCAAGAAGCTAGGAGACTAGAACCAACAACCGTGGCGGATGAATGAATTTGTCAAGGGTTGTACTTGCTCCTTATCCATATAAAATAAATGTTTCCTAAAGAAGAAAGGTTTGGCGTCAATATTTTCCCACCCACTAAGTTTGATAAAAACAATTTCCCACCCATTGTTAAGATTCGTTGGTGATATCTATTAACTAACATGGTAATCAGTGTAACTAAAGATGAAAATACCCTTTATTATTTGAAATTCAAATCCAAATTCATACCCAAACCCCAAACACTACTCCATCATGAATTTCTTCAAATCCCTTTTTTTCGATCATATTAATCCCCAACCAAAACCCGACTCTGAATCCTCCAACACCAAATTACTACTAGATAAACAAAACCCCAAACGCTGCTCCCAAACCCCAATCTAACAAAATCCGGATGCAATTCAGGTTGAATCACATCTGGCCAGGTGCAACTCAAGCTAAATCGCTCCATGAATTGTATTTGGCTAAGTGCAATTTCGACTGAATAACACTAGGCCAATTGCGATTCTGACCGAATCACACCCAGTCAAGTGCAATTAGAGCAAAGAGGGAGAGAATGAGGTAATCACGAGGAAAGGCAATGCCAGATTATATACTGTTGGAATGTGGGAGTGATCAGCGTTTGGGTTGAGAGGATTTGAGTGATGAAAAACCAAAGTTTCCAAGGCAAGTGGCCATGTTTGGAGAGAAGGTTGAGAGCGAGAAGAAGTAGGAAGAGGAAGAGGGGGAGAATTAGGATGAGAGAGGCCTATGGTGGTTGGGGGAAGAAAGATAAAAAGGGTTAATAAAAAAACTGATTTTTTAATAAAAAGGCAAAAAAATAACTCGAATCTACCGTTATGTCCTTCTTCAGTTAAAGTTAATGGACGGATTTTAAAGATGGGTGGAAAATTATTTTTCTCAAACTTAGTGGGTGGGAAATTAATTATGCCAAACCTTGCGTGGTAAATTTTATTCCCCCTTATAATTAAGAAAACGTGCCTTTTTAGATTTTGGTTTACATTAGAGTCGGTGGTAAGTCGTGCCGGCCTACGACATGATACGAAAAAAGTACGGTACAACATGACACGAAAATATTCAAGCCATGTCAGGGGCCTTAAAAAAGGCACGTGGACTGGCATGACACAACGCGAAAAAAATTAAAAATTAGAAAATATTGGGAAAAAATGTTTATATTGTTTACTTTAGCTATTGTAATGGATTATAGGGTAAAATTATTAGGAGTAAATAATATGATAGAAGAAATTTCAGCAAATCTAGCGACCCCAATAAAAATTTCATTAGAAGATATTAGAACTTTCTTACTTTAAATGTATTCACATTATGAAGTCAAATGTGAAAACACGACAAATATACAACCACCATCAATGTGAAGTTCCTCCAAATGTATAAAAGAGCGTATCTGGTCTATCATTACTAAAGGCAAACAACTTGTAGGTGCAAGCTCTTCATATAGTGAAATTACAAATTATTTAAGCATCGATTATTTGGTTGAAATTATGATTTAGGGTGATCAATTTGATATTCTTCGATGGTGGAAAGCACATCAAAAAACTTATCTTGTACTTTCCGTCATCGCACGTGATTTACTAATGTCTCCAGTTTCTACTATAACATCAGAATCAGCTTTTAGTGCAGGCGGGCATGTATTGGACGAGAGAAGATCAAGTTTACATCTAAGTATTGTTGAAGCCCTTATGTGTATGAAAGATTGGGTGGCGGCAAATTTCAAGCTTTAAAATCGCGTTGTTAAAGATATATTTGAAGATTTTAATAATTTAAAAATTAATGAAAATGAAGATGTATAATAATTCTTAATCCTAATTTCTAAGTTTGTATTTGTAGTGTATAATTATAACTTATAAGTAATAAAAAGTGTTGAAATTTAATTAATATTTCAATATCTCATTATTTTATTATATTTCATAGTAATTATATATTTTTTTAATTAATATAAATACAAAATATCACTAAATATAACATATAAAATATTTTTATGATAATTATTAATAATAAATCAAAATTACCATAATTTATAAATATTAAAATCAAATAGTTTTACAAAGGGAGCGTTTGTCTAAACTTATGAAAATTAGCTTATAAGCAACAATTGCTTATAAGCTAAAATTAACTTATAAGCATTTGAAATTTTAAGCAATTACGTGTTTGGTTAAAGTACTTATAAGTAACTGATAGGTAATTAACGTGTTTGGTAAAATTTAGCTTATAAGTACATTTTATAAAAATGTACTACATTAAACAAGGGCATACTATGGAATTTTAAAATTAAACAAGAATGTGGTAATATACTTGGTCAAACTAGCTTATAAGCAAAGTGCTTATAAGCAAAAAAAAAAAAAAAGTCCCTCCCCCCAACTTATTTTTTTTAGCTTATAAGCTCAAAAAAATTATAAACAAACAGGTCAATTTAATTTTAGAGCTTATAAGTGAGTTTGACCAGCTTATAAGCTTAGACAAACACCCCCAAAGTATGTGGGCTAGCCCAAGGCATGACATGATATATAGCAGGCCGTATCGTGGACCTTCAAATTTGGTGGGCCGACATGGCATGATAGGGCAAGAATTTTTGTGGGTCTTGGCACGACACGGCCCACGGGACAATGGGCTCTAAATTTTTAGCCACGACATGGGCCACCACTAGTTGAAATTAATTGAAAGCGAATTCTCTTAGTTTTAAAAATAAAAAGGAGTAGCAGTATCTCCGATATATATAATTAAATAATAAAAAAATATTCTATAGTAAAATTCTGTTTTTGTTAAATATTCATAGGAGTAATAAGGTAGGTATTCATTAATACATCATATTACAAATTTTAACGATAGGAGGGAATTACTTGGTTGATTAAACCATAGGAGAGTCGAGATAAAAACCCAAATTAAAGAATCCCCTTCTTCCAATCTCCGTAAGGATTTAAATAAATTTTACATGGTTAATAAAAATAATCTCTCTTAATTATAATTGAATAATAAAAAATTCTCCTATAATGATAGTAAGAGCAGAAATCCTCTTATCATAAAGTTTTTTCATTTTTGCGTTAAAATAAACTCTTGAGGGGCAGTTATATAAATATTCATTAGCTTAATGGTATAAAGTAAATTTTAATAACTCACCAAAGGATGGAGTGATTTATGTTATTTCTATGTCTTGGGGGGAATTTTAGGGCATAAGAAACCCTATTATAAAGTTGTAAGGATGATTTAGATAATGTTTGAGTCGACTATGAGGCCCCCACCTCTTAATCTTAGTTGAACTTAATTGCTTTTTTTTTTTTTTTTTCCCTTTTTAATTACAGTTTTGTTCTTCTTAAAAATTACTAAATAAGACACAAAAATATTTTATATACGGTGTATTTAGAATAAATCTTTTTCTATTGATTATAATTTCTATTTCATTTTCTACATCCTAAACCCTAATTTTATTTTGAAATAATAAAGATAAAATGAGTTTGACCAATAACATAGTATATGTATTAATTATTTTGGGTTTATTTTATTATTTCTAACTTTCAATTGATTTGTATATTTAAAGAATTTATAAGTTTGATATTTTTTTATTTTTAATTTTAAAGAAAATACATATGATGTAATGTGCACAACTGCTATTGATATACAAATAAAAATGAGAAAAAAGTATAACACTAGTAATAAAAACATAAATACACCTCATTTATTTTGTAAATAGATGAGGTTTATTTAGATGTGTAGATATACTTAAAAATTTTAATGAGGTAAGTTTAGAGATAGGGTGTATTAACATAAAAGAAGTGACTTTTAGCCCCGTTAATTGTTCTTCATCCCTATGGCTAAATACACCTCATTTTATAATTTAAAAAAAAATAAAAAAAAAATTTAAGACCCAACTCAATACCTCTATTTTCTTGGTTTCAAACTTAATTAGATTTTTTGTTTTGCACCATTTTTCCCAAATTAAACTTGATTTTTTTTTCTTCCTCCTATACCCCCTTCCCCCAAATTTCTTAATTAGGATCAGAATTTATGTAAGATTAAATGTTAAAAATTAAAACAAAATATAAATTAAAGTATAAATGTATTTAGAAATTATAATATTATTTTTAGTAATTTAAATAAAAATTAAATTAGTTAAAAAATATATTTAAAAAGGGGGGTGAAAATGATTTAGGTGGGCCCTAAGAATCACTTTCGAAGATAGATCATGAGACCGGCCTTAAGCAAGGGCATTTGATTAAAATGTCAAATCAAGTTCAAGTTTAATTGGAAGGTCATGTAGTTTAAAAGTATAAAATAAATAGTCTTATTATTGACTAAGGTTAATTAAACATAATTACTGGTTATTTATGATTAATAAAGCATTGTATAATCTTTTAAATAATATAATATGTCCCCAAAGAGTCGAAATTCTTGCAAACAAACCCAAGCACTTTCTTCTTCTTCCTCCCGCCATTAACGTATCCCTCCCCTAGTTGTTGTTTCTTCTAAGCTTCATCTACATCTTCTACTTCTTTTGCATCTTCTTCTTCATCTACATCTTCTTCTTCCTGTACATCTTCTTCTTCCTCTGCCATCAACACTTTCTTCTTCCTCTGCGATCAATACCTTGCCATTAACACCTTTTTCTTCCTCCGCCATTAATATCTTCTCTACCAAAGATCCGCCTCTTCCTCCTCCTAACATTTTGTCCAAGCATGTGTATCTCCTCTTTGCATTTTATATTTCTATTTACAAAGATTTAATGATGGATTGGGTTTGGGTTATGATTTCGATTTAGTGGTTTAGGTTCTTAGGTTGTGTTTGATGTAATACAAGTTGAAAAGAGTGAGATTTGTTGATGATTTTCTTGCATTGTGGGTAGCTGGGAGTGGTAGCACTGATTATAGGTGAAGATGACTGAAAATGTATTTTGGAGCTAATGGATTAAGCAATCTGGTATAAGTCTGGTATATAGTAACAGATCGCTTAAGCAATCTGGTATAAGTCTGGTATATGGCAGTAGATCGCTTAAGTGATCGGGTATATGGTAGCAAATCGCTTAAGTGATCAGACTTATTTATACTGGATTGTTTAAGCGATATATTGGATCGCTTAAAGCGATACACCTGATTGCTTAAGCGACTTTGCAGATGTTTTTTAAAATCTGTCAACCCTTAATATATCGGTTAATAATTTTTTTTCTTGCATTAGAGGCACTTGACTATTATTAGACATGGGACAAATTGTTTTAGGTGTCGAATATTTTGGTGAGTGGCTAGATGCTTTTCCGTTTACTTGTTCACTAGTTTCTCTTGGCTGTATGTCAATCTTTTGTGGTGCATTAAACTGATTTTATATCCTTGTATTTCCAGCTATGCCATCAAGAAGAGTGATGAAATCAAGAGAGTTGCCAAGGCCAACTGTTAAAGACTTATTAGTGAATCATAAGACAATTTTAACGGTTTTGATGAGTACTTTATGAGATTACCTTTTTTGTCTCATGGACTTGCTATGAATGCCTTGTTGTTTTCAATTTTTTATATTGACAATTGGATATCTTTTTGTTTGAAGTTTTGAATAGATGATAGTAAGGATGCTTCTAGTTACTTAATTGTTGCTTTTATTGTGCTACTAAATTTATTCAATATTGAGTTGTTATTGTGCTACTAAATTAATTCAATATTGAGATGTTATTGTGCATATAAATTCATTCAATATTGAGATGTTGCTAATTTTCTTGAATTTGAGAAGAAAATATCAAGTACAAATAAAATTAGCCTTGGTCGCTTAAGCAACGTTGGCTATCGCTTAAGCGATCATGGCTTATTGTATAGGATCGCTTAAGTGAGGGTTGACATCGCTTAAGTGAGGGTTGACATCGCTTAAGCGATCTTGAATTTGAGAAGGAATGGTCAAGTACAAAGAAAATTGGCCCTGGTCGCTTAAGTGACTTCGGCTATTGCTTAAGCGATCATGACTTTCTGTACAAGATCGCTTAAGCAAGAACTGACATTGCTTAAGCGATCTTGAATTTGAGAAGGAATTGTCAAGTACAAAGAAAATTGGCGTTGGTCGCTTAAGCGATGTAGGCTATCACTTAAGCGATTACGATTTATCTGTATAGGTTCACTTAAGCAAGAGCTGACATTACTTAAGCAATCAAGGGTAATTTCCTTTTGTACTTAGAATAATCCTTCTCAAATACATAATCGCTTAAGCGATGTCAGCTCTCGCTTAAGCAATTTAGTAAAGATAAGACATGATCACTTAAGCGATAGCCTACATTGCTTAAGCGACCAAGGCCAAATTGCTTTTTTTCTGCTCAATCTTTTGATATTGTGAACGTTTGAGTAAGAAATTATATTCCGTAATGTGGAATGAGTGAGAAATTATATCCTTCTCAAATACATATTTGTGAAATGAGGTACGTTTCTACTAATGTGTCACATTAGTGTGCTATGACATTTCTCCATGTATCATAGGGTTGTTAGTCACATATTGTAGCTGTTATATTTTGATGTTGTGAACGTTTGAGGTTTAAATTAACAGTAATAATCTTCTTAAATGACCTTAATATGTGTTGATAGAATTAGGTTGTCAAATAATCCTCCATAAATGGCCTTAATATGTGTTAATAACCATGTCGCATAGGCGATCAAGGCTAATTTGCTTATTTTCTCCCGAATCTTGTGATGTTGCGAACATCCCAAGTTAACATTAATGTTACTTAATATGGGGTTGTTAAATAATCTATATAAAAAACAAGACTGCTTCAGCGATATATCTCTTATTTAAGCGATCCAGTATATATAAGCCTTAATCGCTTAAGCGATAGCCCACATCGCTTAAGCGACCAAGGCTAATTTGTGTCTAAATAACCCTCAAGTACACGATTGCTTAAGTGATACAGCTCTCGCTTAAGCGATCCAGCGTATATAAGCCTTGGTCACTTAAGCGATAGCCCACATTGCTTAAGCGACTAAGGCTAATTTGTGTCTAAATAATCCTTAAGTACACGATCACTTAAACGATGTCCGCTCTCGCTTAAACGATCGAACATAGATAAGCCTTGATTGCTTAAGAGATAGCTCACATAGCTTAAGTGACCAAGGCTAATTTATGTCTAAATAATCCTTAAGTACACGATCACTTAAGCGATCCAGCATATATAAGCCTTGATCGCTTAAGTGATAGCCTATATATTACTTAAGCGACCAAGGCTAATTTGTGTCTAAATAATCCTCAAGTACATGATCGCTTAAGCGATGCAGCTCTCGCTTAAGCGATCCAGTATATATAAGCTTTGATCGCTTAAGCGATAGCCCACATCGTTTAAACGACCAAGACTAATTTGATGATCTCATAAAACTCATCAAAACCATAAAAATTGTTTTCTAATTCACTAATAAAAATTGTTTTCTGATTCACTAATAAGTGTTTAACAAATTAAGAGAAAAACTGATAAAATAGCAGCCTGAAAATTTGTCAACCAAGATCCTCACTCATAAAACAATCAATTAAGAGAAAAACTGAGGAAAATATATTGATTAACAAGGAGCAAATACAATAAAGAAATCTGGAAAATGATAGTTCCAGCAGTTCTAGTAGTTCCCAAAATAACAACCTCCCAAAACATGCGTTTTGTCTAAACAAAATACACTTTTAGTCCCTACTCTATAGATTCAATGGATCCTGCGATCCAGTGTATATAAGCCTTGATCGCTTAAGCGATAGCCCACATCGCTTAAACGACCAAGGCTAATTTGATAATCTCATAAAACTCATAAAAACCAATAAAATTGTTTTCTGATTCACTAATAAGTGTTCAACAAATTAAGAGAAAAACTGATAAAATAGCAGCCTAAAAATTTGTCAACCAAGATCCTTACTCATAAAACAATCAATTAAGAGAAAAACTGAAGAAATTATATTGATTAACAAAAAGCAAATACAATAAAGAATCTGGAAAATGATAGCTCCAGCAGTTCTAGTAGTTCCCAAAATAACAACCTACCAAAACATGCATTTTGTCTCAACAAAATACACTTTCAGTCCCTACTCTAAAGATTCAATGGATCCTACCAACCCTTTCTAACTAAATACACTTTTTGTTGCTCAAAAAACACAGCCAAATCTATTCCATGCTTTTGTATCTCCACTAGCTTTAGATGCCTTCCTTTCTTCCTCCCTTCGTTGCTTCAAAGTTTTTGAACCATTAATAGACAAATCGCAGACCTACAGAAAAAGCAATGTCAAATTCCTCATCATAATAGACAAAAAAAGACATGAACCATGAGGCTTGGAAGGAGTATGCAACTAACTCTTGTTTGCTTGACAGGTTCTTGTTTCTTGGTGGCATAATGTACAAGAAAGATGATGAAGGGCAAGCCCTGCAGGGTTGGCTGTGCATGGACAACCCTGTAATATGCAGGACAAGCCCCCAGCCCCCTTATTCCGCTCACTTTGCCAACAAAAGCCATCCAACCTGCCATAAACAATCGCAATAGGGCCTCCCTTTGCTTCCCCGCTCCTCTGGAAGCCCAAAACACCCACTCCTCAGATGCTCTCCAACTGCTCGACAAAATGCAATAATGACCTTAACAACAAACACCAACCAAATATCCCTAAATTGGCACCAACAACCAATAATTTCGTAAAATATATAGATTATTACTTGTTCTTCCTCTTCTTCCACCTCCTCGCTGGAATTTGCGCTGGTGTCCTCCTCTTCATTTTCAATTTCGAATCTTGTCGTCCATTCTTCTGCCGGCGGGATGTCTTTTGTCAGCGCCGTCTCCTCTATTGGCGGTGGAGCAACTTCAGCCATCGGAAGTTGCTCCACCGCAACCTCTTCTTCTCCATTTTTGGTAGACCAAGTGGTGCCTACAATTTGGGGAGTGGATGAGTTTTTTTCGGTTTCTTTGAGGATCTCAGCCATTGTAACTTAACCGGGAATGGCAAGGAATGGCAAAAATGCAAAGAGCAAAAAAATTGAGAAATGTTATAAAATTGGAAGAAAAAACGAGAGAGAGGAAGGTGTTTGAATCGTGTTTTGAGAAAGAGAAATTGAGAGGAATGTGTTTTGCCTTTCAAATTTTAAACCAACTTCTTTTTATTATCTTTAACCCACAAACGTTTAAATCTTTTCACCCTAACCTTTTTTGCTACTTTAATTACACTTAAGTGTGCCATGTCAGATTTTTAAACCCAAAAAAAAAATCAAAAACCTTTTGGGGTTATATTCTCAATTCGAAACTTGGGAAGACATACCAGGTAAATTTCCTCCCTTAAGCATCACTCTAAAATTTTAAACTGATACGATGAATTTACTAATTTATCCTTTATTTTACAAGGGCAAAATGGACCAGTAGCAGTAGCACAGAAGATAAGCAAAGTAGCAAATCCAGTTCAATTCCGAGTGTTTCAAACTCTTAACAATGGAATCTCTAGCACTTCCCTCTCTCAGTGCTCTTACAGTGTCAACTTCAAGTTTTCACAAAGAACAAAGCAAAAAATTATTGGGGAAAGCTCGTCACTTCAACTCCCTGAAGCCATCTTCTCTCAAACTTACACCATCTATTAGTACTCACCCTTTTGTATGGTTATCTTCCATTTTTCAGTTCTGATTAATGAACTTTCTAACTTTTTTCTTCTCTCTTTTCTTTTTTTAGTATTTTTTCTTGCCTTACCATGTTTGGATGCCAAAAAATCGAAGGAAAATTGAGATGAGGTTGTTCTTTGTGTTGCTTAGAATTCAGGTGGTATTCGAATGCAAGCTGGTGAGGAAGATTACGACTTGAGGCAAATGAGAGACATGGCTGCTGCAAAGAAGAGATGGGATGCTCTGGTATTTCAAATTATTTCATGTAATTGCATAAATTTCCCTTCCTAGTTGGTGTTAAGGAGTTGTGTTTTCTTTTTTGTTTAGCCAGTTAATATGGTCCGAGTTTTTATTTGCTAGTTTTCACTTTTCGATTATGTAGCTCAGGGAAGGAAAAGTAAAGGTACTTGCACCGAGGGAAGCTGGCTATGCGATTCAACTCTCTAACAAAACCTTACTTGATGTTCGTCCCTCTAGTGAGCATGTGAAGGTGAACATTTTCCTCTTTTCCGTCTTTAAATTGAAATTTTGCCAACATAGAAGTTATAGATGGTCGTAATCATACAATAAGCATGCTGCGTATCCTACAATTTTATGATAGTATTTTTGTAATCATGGTGATTTCATGATAGATCTGTGATCTCTTCTATTTTCCTACATAAGAAGGCACCATTTTTTAATGTTCACTTAAATACATTGATTTTTAAAATTTTATTGATTGGTCTAATGCTAGGCCTTCTTTGCAAACTGTTAGATATTTCTTTTTTAGTCATTGAATCTTAATTTCTTAACCTGTTTTGAAGGCTTGGGTTAAAGGCTCAACCTGGATACCGATCTTTGATGTTGATAATGGATTTGATGCTGGAACACTTTCCAGAAAGATCACAACTTTTGCAATGGGTATCATTACATTCTGGCTATCTAGTATTTCATAAACTTATTGTCTTCCATGTTAATTTTGCTTCTCTTGCATCCTTTATAACTATAATTATTTGGTTGTTTAACAAATTATTACTCAATAGAGTTATGTATTCTGTTATTTGCCATTCGGAAGATAAGATTGGAACTTAGATGATTAGTTTGACTTGAAACATACCATGATTGAATTCTTGGACCAAAAGTGATTCTGTGGTTTCTTCTAAATTTCAATAAATTCTCCATGATTTTTTGTGGAGTTTGCTCTCAAAACTGACTTATGTTCATAGGTGGTTGGTGGAGTGGTGCGCCTACATTATCTTATAATAAGTAAGTTTTAGGGTGCTTTTAAAATTTTCATTTTTGTGAGTTTCTGCCTGTATTTCTGCATATACGATTAATTCCATGGTCGTTGTCTCCTTCATACACAGGCAGTTCTTATCAAAAGTTGAGGAGAAACTCCCCAAAGATACAGATGTTATTGTTGCATGCCAGAAAGGATTGAGGTGAACTTTTTCTTAGTTGATTGGCACTTTGATGGCCGAGTATCAAGTGACTTGTTCATTGTACTTCTAGGAAAATAATGTTATGGTGGCTTCTTAATGTATGTTTAGCTTTGTTTATTATTGTTTTTCCCAAATTGTTTTCTGCTGTTATTGATCTTCTTTTTGGGCCTTTTCCATGATTCATCTGCATATTAGTATAACTGCTAATTTTTGTCCCAACATTGCCCATAGGGATGTAAATTAGACTTCTAGTTAATGCAAAAAGCTATTTTGAATTTATTTTTAGCTATTTGAGTCTTGCTGGTGTGGAAGCCAACTTGTTCATGTCGGTCTTCTTAGAGCTATATATATATGTGTACTTAATGTCAGTCACCGCGAGACAGATAGAGAACCGTGGAGAAGGGGTGGGAGAGGAGAGGGAGTAGAGAAAAAAGTTGGAGGCTCTGGATGGCAGCATCTCTTTTGTTTTTACAACTTAAAATTTATTTTCCTTAGGACCTTTGATCGCTATTTAAAACCATATAATCGTTCTTTTGCCGATTATTTGAATCCTTGGCTTATGTCATTAGTTGGACCTCATATCATGAGTAATTTGGTGCTTTTTATTGACAGAAAGGCAGATTGGAACTTCCTTACATATAGATAGATTGAGTTTCATCAGTGCCTCTAAGACAATAAGTTGTGTTTGCTTCACTAACCATAATTCTGACAGATCTCTAGCTGCTTGTGAGCTACTATACAATGCTGGATACAGAAACCTTTTCTGGGTTCAAGGGGGTCTAGAGACTGCTGAAGAAGAGGTAAATGTGTTTCCGATGTGAAATTTGAAAGTTCCTTTTATATTTAGGTTTCTCATTTTCCTTTTTATTCTGCTTTGTCTTTCTCCAATTAAAACTAAAGGCTCAATTAATTTAGTGAGTCTAAACTTTTTTGGATTAGGATCTTACCAGAGAAGGTTCTCAGCCTTTGAAGTTTGCTGGAATTGGAGGGGTTTCTGAGTTCCTTGGGTATAGATCTCATTTTTCGACCTTTGTCTTTTGATGCATTTCATATCCTCACGTTTCATTTTTTGAACAAATATATATGACAATCCATGTGATGGACCATCGAGAGAGAGAGAGAGAGAGAGAGAGAGAGAGAGAGAGAGAACAAAATAAAAAAGAGAAAGTGATCTTTTAAACATCCTCAATTTAAGAGGCTTAAACACTAGTTAAAACTCTAATATGTTTAAGCTGGGGGCTTCTAGACTTTTTGTAACACTTACTCTTCTTCGTTCATTTATCTAACGACTATGAAAAGATGATTCTAGAATTTATAATATGTAGTGCTTAGCAAACATTCAGTAAATTGTAGTGGGACTTAGCATACAATTTTCGCACTTATTTTGTGCAAAATGGGTGGGAAGATAATATCTGTCCAGTACATTGCTATTTTTTTGTATTTCATTAAGATGCATGGAAATTAATCCAGTGAATGGCTGTCAGTTCAGTATTTCATAATCATCAGAACATCTTGAACAAGCTCGGACTCATAAATTGCTTGGGATTGTCTCCCTAAGAAAAGTATTGCACGTGATGTTATCAAATTTACGTAGGAGGCGTTTGGTTGGGGGTAATGTGGGATTACTGGAGTTATGTTATCTTGTATTACTTGATTACCACGTTTGGTTGTCAAGTAATATTAAATTCCGGTAATCTTCAAATACCAATAGTAGTTACTATTGGTAATATTGGAGGTAATCTGATTACCTCAATTTTTTTAGGTATTCTAAGATTACCAGGGTAATCTTTTTTTTTGTTATAATTCTATCCCTTATTAATAAAATTTTAGTATAATAATGCCCTTATTTTTAAATTTATTTACATGAATATGACTTTTACTATTTCATCTCAATTAATTAACTTTTTGGACAAAATTACCCTTGAATTCAAAACAGATTACAGCCCACCCAAGTCGCCACCCCACCCACCTGCCGCTGCCTGTCGTCGGCAACCATCGCCGTGGGCGGCCGTCGTCGCTGAAACGGTGCGCGAAAGGCTGAAAATGGCTACCGTGCGTCGATATGGTTAGCCAGATCGTGCCAGATCTGGCCATTGATGGCCAGATCTAATCTAGCCGTCAAAGGCCAGATCTGTCACATCTAGTCATTTCTAGCTAGATCTCTGGTCGAAAATGGTCATACGGCACATGGAGGCTATTTCCTACCTTTTGTGCGTCGTTAGGTTGCTGGTTGCCAGCGGTCGGCAGTGGCTGGGTTGGTGGAGGTGTTTTGTTGATTTTTCAAACTTTTATTATGGGGTTGTTTTTGCTAAGTTTTTAAATACAGGGGGGCTATAATAATCAATATTAAAAAATAATATAATAATAATATTTAATTAGAGGACAATTTAGTAATTTAAATAGCATATCCACTAATTTATTCCTCCCGATCAAACATATTAATATAATATACCCACCAATTAACCAAACACATTTTCCTAAAAATTCTCAATAATCTTCAAGGTAATCTAACTTTCCAGTAATTCAATATTTCTTGAACTAAATGCTCCCTTAGGGTCTATGATCTAGTTAATGGTTATTGTACTTTTTCCCCATTATCTCATCTTAGGAGATCTCTAGCTCACAACATTTTATGCTTGGACTTCTATGTTTATTGTCTGTAATAAATCTCCTTGTATTTGTCTGACAATATTGTATTGTAGCCTGGGATAATAAAAATAGCTGGCTTTATGATGTTGGAAACTTGTTGACCTGTTATAATTTATTATGATTTTGACAACATTGCACTTTTTGCGCATTTTCTGTTACATTCAGTTGGACAGATCAACAAAGAGTTCAAGCCGCCAGAGAAGGTTGGGGTTACCGATTAATGTTCTCTGCACGTCTGGTAATTATAGTCTTTCTATCTCAGTAAGGTGGCCTACTTTTTAGCCTTAAGTTCAATTTCTACCCTCATATGCTGTTTCTGATACAGGTTGGGGTCTTTATTGTTGCTGATGCCTTATTTATTGGTGCACAACAAGTAGGTCGTTATATCCAAGACATAAGATCTCACTAATGTTCATTGGCTAGGCTTGAAGGTAGTCGATTGTAACATATGAGGGACAACAGTACTTTAGTTCTGGTTCACTGCACAGAATCCAGAGATTTGCTGAGGATCCCAGTTTTTGAGTTAGAGTAGTTCTCAAAGCAGTGACATACCTGCGACAGCTGAAAATTCGAAACCAATTGTTTTCGTGCTGTGAACTAGTTCTGCAGTGATTCTCGTGGTCATAATTTGTCACATGGTGCTGGCTTGTAAAGAAATTTTGCTTAATCACTTGCTTTCCTGTATATGTTTATGGTTCTGTGAATTTTGTTGCCTAAAATGTGTCTTTCTCTGTTAAATTTATATGACCTTCCAGCAGCATTTTACTTTGTTGTACTAGAGTTTATAGGTCATCTGGCCATCAACTGGCAACTCAGCTGAGCAGACTTGCACGACTGAACGAACTGTGAATTGGTGCTATTGTCCAAATTAGTAGAATTCCTTCTTAAATTTTTATCTATTTATTCACAGTTTTTCTTATTTGTTGGATTTGTTAAACCTGCTACTAGATGGACTGGGTTCATAAACCAAACTAGTTTTTGCTCCCATTGTTGACCACATGTCAAACCTCTTTCTCCAATAGAAACATAATCGAAAATCTACAGTGAATCAATTATTATCTTCTTTCCTCTCAAATTTTAAATTCTCATTTGTCTTTGTGGAATATTTCTCTTAGTTGGAGACATATTAAGAGTTAAGACTGCAGGGGTTTGTTTCATTGTTAAATAGAAGATGTCTATAGGAAAATGAGATTAAATGCTATGCAGGATAAATTTATAATCATTGCAGCTATTAACATTTTGATAGTCATTATTATTGTGTAAAAATTGTGCACCCAGGGAAGCAAGGAGCAATTTGTTTTACATTTTTTTTTTTTAATGCCCTTTTCTGAAAGTTGTACTCGTTAGCTTAAGGATTGTATTTCATCACCTTTTTGACTTTATTGATAATCGAACTCTGAATACAAGTAACTTTGCAGGACATGGATTGAATAAATTGTTCATAAAATCTTCTGGCGGACAAATCACTCTCATCTGTTTCTTCTTTTCTGCATATCACATCACATATGATAAAGCAAAACCAAATGATTGATTCTGCTTAGGTTATCATTGGACTTGTTTCTTGATGATGATTGATATTTGATGCATTTTATTTGGGAAAGTGTGGCTTGGCAACAACAACTAAATGGGCTATCCTGTGCATTGTAATGCCAAAAACTTCAGTCATATCCAAATCTTTAGCATCAATACCGGGGGGAAGCTCCCAATCAAAGCTGTGGAGAAGCTGTGCTAGAGCAAGCTCAACAGTTGCTGTTCCAAATGTAATAGCTGGGCAGCTTCTTCTACCAGCCCCAAAAGGTATGAGCTCGAAATCCAGCCCCTTGAAGTCAATAGTGCTGTCCGTAAATCTTTCTGGTTCAAAGGTTTCAGGATTATCCCAGGATTCTGGGTCCCTCCCTATCGCCCAGGCATTTACGAAAAATCGTGTTTTTGCTGGAATACCATACCCTTCAATTGTAATTTCCTCCATAGATTCCCTTGGCACTAGGACTGGAGCAGGAGGGTGCAATCGGAAGATCTCTTTGATGACAGCTTTCAAGTAGTGCATCTGAGGCAGATCACTTTCCAGTACAACTCTTCTCTTTCCTAGAATGCTTCGAACTTCGGCTTGAGCTTTCTCCATGACTTTTCGGTTCATGATAAGTTCTGTCATTCCCCAATCAAGGGTTATGAAGGTTGTATCAGTTCCTGCAGCAAACATATCCTGCAATAACAGCATTTGACACTTTCCCTCTTTAGTTTTTGTGCAATCGATCATTCATCAGTTTTGAGGATATAATACTATAAAGCAAAGAAGTAGCAAGTAAGGAAATCTCTACTGACCAAGATGATGGCTTTAACATTATCCATGGTGAGAGGCATTTCGTGAGATCCATTCTTTTGTATGTCAAGTAAAACATCCACAAGGTCTGGCTTGTTCTCTTCTCTATCAGGATTGAGATGCTCATTTATTACCTCATCAAAAAACTTGTCGAAGCGTTGGAAGGTCTTCTGGAGTCTTGGTTTCATGCCCGTTAGGCTGTGAATAAACTCCATGGACGGGAAGAAATCTCCAATACTAAATCCCCCAAGTAATTCTTGATACTCCTCAAGCATCTTCTGAAACCCATATCGATCATAGTCCCCTGCTTCTGAGAAATCCTTTCCAAATGCAACCCGGCAAAGAACATCATTTGAATACAGTCCAAGTGTCTTGGTTAGATCAGTCGTGTTGGGATAATTCTCCGCTACCCGATGAACCAGACGAGCTACTTCTTCTTCTCTGACGAAGCTGAAAGACTGAACTCGTTTAGCACTCAGTAGCTCAAGTATACAAATTTTCCGTATATGCCTCCAGTAAGCACCATAAGGGGAGAAGACAATATCAGTGCAGTCATAAAATAGGTGTTTAGCTGAAAAAATCTGAGGGCGGCTTGAAAGTGCAAGGTCATGGGTTTTCATCACTTCCTTCGCCATTTTAGCCGATGAAACTACTACTGTTGGGACCTGGCCAAGTTTTAAGTAGAAGATTGGACCAAACTTCTCAGCCAGGCAGCGGAGAGATAGGTGAGGCATGTTACCAAGCTGGTGAAGATTGCCAATAATCGGAAGCTTTGGAGGGCTTGGGGGGAGATTCAGCTTTCTTTTTCTGAACTTCCTCTTTAAGAAGAACTTGAGCACTACCATTAGAAAAATGGATGCAAGTAGCATGGAGGGCTTGAAGCCTTCCCTTAGCCATTGAAGGAAGGCCATTGGAGTTTTCACTGAAACAAGTGATCAACATTAATTTATATATTGAAGAGAGCTCCCTTCAGTGTTTTTTTATTTTATTTTATTATTATTTTTTTAATAGGTTAACTATATCTTTCTGATTGCTTCTGATTTTCTATCTATAATTTTAGCCGAGCTTTACCATTTTTATCAATTTTATGTTTATTTAATGTTTTTCCAACCCCACTCGGCTACTATTCTTCGTATCAAATCATGTATTTTGGCATTTCTTATGATATTACTAAGGTAGTTTTTCCAGGATCATGTGCCTGGAGATTTGAGATATTGATACGCAGACATCAGCCAGAATTAACATTCTACAATTGAAAAAATACAAGCCAGATGAATCTTGCCTTGCTACACTCCAAATTGTAAACGCATGAAACAAAAGAGAACTGACAAACGTTATTAAGTTTGAGTCACTCATATTTTAATAGGGGTTATTACTTAAATTCTTATGAGAACCGATAATTTTAAAATTTCAAAGAATTAATTAAGGTATATGTAATTTATTTAAGATGCTCTTAATGAAAAAAAAAAAAAAAATTGGGCAAGCGCAACTTCTTGAGTGTCAATGCTGCAAGTTCTTAGCTGTTTGATGTGGAATCCATAAGTAATTTTTCCTGCTTTCATCGTTACTATCTGTTGATTATTGTGATTCGATATTCAATTAAATATCAGTTAAGAATCTTAAGATAGCTGTTAAGTTTACGTAAACAAGCAGCGTTTAATTTCTGTGGTGGGTATCTGCTAATCCCTTCATTTCTTCTGTGTTCTGTCACATCAGAGGAAATATAAATATAGGAATCCCGTCCATCTTCTTTGTATGACGACAAGAGATCACCACTCTGGATTCTGACAACAATAATCCTGTCAACTTTAACAAATTTTATCGGAATTACTTGACTAGTTGCCCTTACAAAACAAAGAAAAAGAAAGAACGTGGTCAAGATGAAAAGAAAATACACATAAAAATGGTAAGAAACCTACTTTCGTTAGAATTTAATGGGTAGTTAGGAATATGCAAACCCTTGAATAGAGATGGAACAAATGAGTCGGGTTAGGTGGGTTAACCCTAACCTAGCCTGTATTAAGATGGATTCAATTCAGACGCCTAAAAGACTGGCCGGGTTGAACTTGACCCGCATATACCCTATCGAGTGGGTCGGGTTTTAATATGTCAACCTGGCGACCAGACAGATTAAAATTTTTACTTAAAAAAAAAACCAGCCAACCCGCCGGGTTGGCCATTGCAAGGCAACAGTCAACCCGCTGAGTTGACCTGCGGGTTGGACGAAAAAATTAAATAATAATTTTTTTTTTTGCAAATACCCATTTTATCCTTGAAATATAGCCGTTTTATAGCAGTTAGAGGGGTATTTTCATCATTTTCTTTTCCCTTTTTTTTAATAAATAGGGCCTAAACTCTCATATTTTCTTACATACCAAATTCTCTCATTTTCTCTAATCTCTATTGAAATCTCTCAATTATTCTCTTTGTTGTCAATTTGTTCTCATTTTAATTTTTATTAGGTTTTGTAATTTTCAATTCATATTTCCAAATTCCAATTCTCCTTCTTTAATTTTTTATTTCTTCTATATCAATTTTTTTTTTAAAACTATAATGGATAGATATTTTCATCTCATCGATTTCGATGATGAAGGAAACTATCCTAGTCTCCCTTAATTTACTAACATAAATGCAGTAGATTCAAATAGTCCAGCTTTCCCAGTCTCAGAATCTAATACATGTCATAATATTCCCCCGATTCCTCCCCATGCTGCTACAGCTCCCGGTGGTTCTAGAAGTCATCCTTGTAATCGTCATCCTTGTTCAACTTCATCTCAAGCAGAAGCGGGTTTATCAACTGTTGTCGAAACCGACGACAGGCACACATCAGACGTTTGGGTGCATTTCGATAAGTTTTACGAGACAGAAAATGGAGTTCAAGTGAAGAAAGCAAGATGCAAGCATTGTGGAAATATTTATAAAGTTGATTCAGATAATGATACTAGTACTTTAAAAAGGCATGCTAATAAACATATTACTCAACATTGAAATAGATTAATTAATCAAACTCAAATAACTAATATGGGTACTACTTGGCGTTATAATTCTGATGTATATAGGGAACAATTAGCTTTATATATTGATCCAACTGATCAACCTATTAAAATGGCTGAAGATAAATAGTTTGAAAGATTTAATAAAAATTCATTTTTCTAGGATTTAAAAGTTATTCTAAAACTGCAACTAAAAATAATTTAATAAAATTGTTTAGGAAAATGAAATTAGAATTAAAAAAAAAAATACATAGTTGTTATGTTAGTGTGACTCTAACCGGCGATATTTGGAGTGGTACAGCTAAACAAAATTATATTTGTGTAACTAGTCATTATTTTGATAACGAATGTAAATTAAATAAATCTTTATTGGGATTTAAATTAATGGATGTGGATCATAGTGGTCAACAAATTTATAATAAAATTGTTGAAGTTTTAGAAGATTATGATGTTGTTAATAAAATGATAAGTTTAACTTTAGATAATACAAGTGCTAATAGTACAACTATAAATTTTTTTAAAATTAATTTTTCTTTTATGACAATTTGAAGTTTTTTCACCAACGTTGTGCATGTCACATTTTTAATTTAATTGTGAAAAGTGGTATGAAAAAAATGAGAAATAATATTGATAGAATTAGGGATTCTTTAGCTTAGATTGCTAGTAATAATAAAAGAAATGCTTAATTTCAAGGTGCTTGTATAAAATTAAATATGTCTCTTAGAACTTTTGCATTAAACATGCCTGTTAGATGAAATAGTACTTATTTAATACTCGATTTATGTTTACCTTATGCAAATTTAATTAGTTATTTTGTAACAAATAATAAAGGTCCTCATTATTTGGTAGAAAATGAGGACCTTTATTGTTTAGGTGCTGTATTTGATCCTAGAATTAAAGTAGCAGGTTTTGAAAATGGTTTAAACACATTAACTGAAAATTTACAAAACGAAGCATATGCCAATCAACTATCAGACGTAAGAGAGTGTCTTACAGAGGTATATTTGCAATATGAAAACAGGTATGGGAACCAGCAAGGAGGCGAAATACCTGAGGAAGTTGCATCAGAAGAAACAAATGATGACTTTGACTCCTGGAGTACACTTAATAGGCCAAAGAGGACTCGAACCCGAAGCACAGCCTCCTCTTTAGAAGCACCAACAATGAATGTACTGTCCTCCATGTAGTTATAGAGTAATGAGCTTCACCAATATTTGGAAACCCTCGAAGTGTTGTCAGCAGATCCACAACAAATAGTCAACTTTGATGTCTTAGAATATTGGAAAACCAGAAAATGTATTTTTCCGGTATTATCAAGACTTGCCTTGGATGTTTTCTCTGTTCTTGTCTCAACCGTCTCATTCGAACAAACATTTAGTGCAAGTGGAAGAATTTTAAATGAAAGGCGGACTAAACTTTCACAAAAAATGATTAAAGTCCTCACATGTCTTGGAGATTGGTCGAGCCATCAGGATCAATACGAGGTTGTTGACGATACTTGAATAGAATCATTTCAATTTTGTAATAGAGATGATACGGATGAGGGAGATCTTAGTCAACCCCCAAATTAGTTGTTTTGGAAATTGTAACTTGTAAATTAATTATCAATTATTGCACTCTTTTTTCCTTACCAAGTTTTTGTCCCATTGGGTTTTTCTTGGTAAGGTTTTTAATGAGGCAATAATTGTTGTAATTTCTTATTTTATTTTTTGATAAATGAATAAATCTAATTTTTCTTATATTACAATTTCATTGTATTAAAATTTAATTAATATTTGAAATGTTAACCAAAAAAAATTAATTTAATTAAATTATTAATATTTGAAAAGTTAACTAAAAAGTAAAAACAATTACCCAAAAGAAAAAAAATAAAAAAATTTATGGGCTAACCCAGCCCGGCCCGCATCAAAACCCGCCAAGTTAGGGTTGGCGAGCTGGGCTGGGCCAGTCTTTTTAGCCAAGAGGCGAGCCTAACCCGACCTGCCCTTGTTGGTGGGCTGGGTTAGGCCCAGCCTGCCAATTCCCATAACCTGTCGCCGGCTAGGCCAGACAGGTTATTTTTCCACCTTTACCCTTGAATCATTATAGGTCAGGAATTCTGAAATCTGTGTAAATTCAAGAATTAATTTGTTTAAAACTAAAATGGTAAGAAACTACTTCCAATAATTGATGATAAAAACCTTTACTGGTTTAATAATGGTGTTTGGTTATATTCTTTTAGCTGTGTTTGCTTCACAATAATCAACATAGGAATGAGAATCTTATTCCCAATCCCATTTTGGTTTAACTATTTGAGTCGGAGATAAGATTCCCATTTTTAAAAAAATGGTGGAGTATTATGTCTTCCAAAAATTTAGAAGGAATATTATCCATTATTATAATCAACAATGGGTTGACCGAATGGTAAAGGCGTTGGACAAAGGGTTTGCTCCCCGTTTGAATCACAAGAATAATTATTAATATTATTGGTCACGAAAGCCTTGTTCGAGGTCAGGGAGCTAGTCGAGGTGAGAGTTAAACTAGTTCGAATACCCCCAATAAAAAAATATATATTATATCCATTCAGTGATGGGATAATGAAATATCAAGTTGATCCCTATTTAAATTCTAATTTCCCATTACTGGTAAGAAAAATAATTTAAAATTTGATTTTTTTAATTTAATAATTATTTAAAAAAATTAATAATGAAAATAATCAAATATTTAGGCTCCGTTTGGTTAGTTTGTTAGAACAACATTCTATGCTAAATATGATTTTTGAAAAATAGGATAGGATTCTAAGAAGTTTTTGGTACATTTTTTTAAAATATTTTCTGAAAATATTAAGATTATTTTAATTTCCTAAGTTTGTTAATATAAGTAAACACACCCCCCCTCCTCCTCCTCCTCTTAACAATAATAAAAATTTATAAATTGAC